GTGATACCTTTGAGGAGAAGGGGTGTGAAGGGGATAATTGGGGGCTCCAGTTTTGTAACAGTAAGTCTGTAGGACCGGTGGTTTCTGGATGGATCCTGCAAATCAAAAAATAGTGAATACATTTACCTTAAAATAAATGTTTTACTTAAAGGAGCTACAGATGTTTAAAGCAGTGATTTGAAAAACATTGAATGTAAAATTAGACCCTTTAAAATGTCTCACCATCATGCTCTCAAACTCAGCGTAGAACTTCTTAAACTTTGTTGGGAGTTTCTGAGAAAAGTAAAAGGATGAGTCAATGATGAGATTCCACATCTGCAGAAAACAAACAACATTAGCAGCAGGAAACAGGTGAACTGTAAGACGTTTACCTCCCATGTCTGGCTCAGTCTGCTGACAGCAGGGTTGCTCATTCCCATAATGATGGCAAAGAAAGAATTCAGGTTTTTAAACTCTCGACAGCTGCAGACAAAATAAGCACACGGAAAACAGAATTTAACAAAATATATATACACATAAATATATACAAAGTTATACAACATTTCATATAGTACTCACTGGGCAGCTATTTTAATGAACTTCTTTAGGAGCTGCACTCTCTTGCTGAGCTGCCCACAGAGGCAGACTTCAGTGACAACCCACAGTTGAACCTGGTTGAATCTGCGCAGGAACAAGTCCAGGTTGGCTGTGGTTCTTCTGAAGCTCTGTCGGCCAAATGTGTGGTAGAGAAGCTCATGCTGAGGGGGAAAAAAGCAGGGTTTAGTTTTAATCTTGTGACTGAACCTAAAAACAGCTTCTTAAACAGTAAAAACATTTGTGTGTCGTACCTCATGTACGCAGCTGAACAACTCCCAGTCAAACATTGTCATCTGATAAGCCAGGTCCTTGGAACTCATCAGCTCAAACGTTGACATGGAGCCTGCAGAAGGGCCCTCCTGGTCTGGGAGTGGAGACTGAGACAACACGTAAATTCACAATAACACATACAACAATCTACTACAACTACTATCACAGTCACTACTTCTAATTTACTGATGCCCAGACCTGGTTACAATACTGTAAACCACTTTAACGACCCTGTACTGTTTAGAACATGAAGCAACAACTTCTCTTCTCTCACCAAGCTGTTGAGCTGGTCTCTAGAACAGGCGAACAGTCGCCCGTTGATGTTCAAAGATGAAAATACCGACACATCATTTGGCTTCAGCATCTGTTTTTCTGTCGGTCAATGAGAAAAAGTTGCACTTTTCAATTATGCTAACCATATCTTTGTTTACACACACAAAGTCAGCCTTTAATTATATACATAGGTTAAGTTAAAAAGTAAATAAATAAATATGTTGAGAAAATGTCTTTAATTGTCATTAAAAAATGTACAGTATTTCAGTCATCTGGTGTTTGTTGTTCATTAATCTAAGTTGTCCATTTACATTTTATTCTTATAAACTCACAGATTAAAACAGTATCACCAGACATACCTCAGTATAAAATGTTTTTAGAGTATGTGCTTTTGTTGAGGAATAGGAATAGGAATACAAATCAGTTTTCTTACCACCAGCTGAGCTGAGGTGGATCAGCATGAGTTCATCGCTGGTGCCAAGTTTGTCAGCTACTGAATTGATCACTTCTCTTCCTGTTGCTGCCACAGCAATGCGGATGGTTGTGTATGTGTGGTCACTGCAGTACACCTTCAGAAGGACTACACACACACACACACATAAAAACCTCCTGTGGTATCTGACTAAACAGATATTGAAGTAAGTCATAGAACTCTGACTTCACAGTATCCTGAACAGGAAAACTGTGCTACATAGATACAATACAATAACATTCACATTAAAAAGTCATTGAAATTCAAAAACATCTCACTGTCATCCTGATTCCTGATGGGTTGTTTCTTTTGCAGTCTTTCCTCTCCATTGCTGAACTGTCTTATTAAGGTTTTCTGTGTAAATACATTTTTAAAAAAACACACAATCATTTATCAACATACATCATTGTTATGCTAGTATTACAAAAATGAGCTTACCTTTTTTGTCGCTTTTGCCTCTTCTGAACTAAAAAGGTAATAAATTATATGTAAAATTAATATGAATAGAACCAGCACACGTACATAAAAAAGTTAATAAGAAACTTACTGTAGTTGGACGATTTTCTCCAAGTCTGGAACAAAGTCTTTCAAAGCTCTCAGCACCCGGGAATCATTTGATAAACTTCCATACAACTCCTGCAGGAGAACAGAATTAGAAGAATTTTTTTTTTTTTACTTTGACACAATTAGAGTAATATTTTTTTACAGCAGCTCAGAGCTGGTTAAGGTTTACCTCCAGGAAAGAGAGGGCAGCAGGCTCCTCCTGCAGCAGGTAGGAGTGTGTGTTAGCCCAGCGCAGAGCCAGGATGAGGGCCCGCCTCTTGTTGTTGAGAGCGTACTCCAACCTTTCTTGTTCAGAGCCAGGTGGAGACACAGCGTGATAGGTGCACATGAGGTTAAAGATAATTATAAAGATATGTATGCAAATATTTTACACGATTTGTCATTTTTCACCACTGTCTATGCTCATCACAGCAAAGAAACTCAGGAAAACAACTCATTTTACTAAATAATAACCATCATTTTTTTTCCACGTCTCCCCAGGACTAAATTACAACGAGCGCCACTGAAGCTAAACACAAGCAGCTGAATACTTCCACTACAATGACTAAGACAACAAGAAAAGACCTTCTCGCCTGGGTCTACAACTTATTACTATGGTGTGAAGAGGTGAGCACTCAGTCAGCAGTTCATTAGTGCTGGATGGTCCACTGCTCCGTCAGCACTTCCCTGAACAGGACTGCAGGCTTTCTGCCATCGGTAACACTTTTATAGTGTACTGAAAATATGCATTTAAAGTTGTGTCATTTAGTACAAATAAAGGCTAAAAGAGCAAAAAAAGACAAATCAGAAAGGATATTGTGCCATGAGTAAAGGACAGAACTGGCTGTTGGCCATGAAGACACAGTGCATAAGGACAAAATCATCCACTGCTGGGTCTAACAGATGAGAAGGAAAACAAAGGAGGAAAGATTAAATTCAAATCCATCCATTTAGTGAACAGTATTTCTCAATGTGTTTCCTGTAATATTGCATCTTATACCTGGTTCACTGTGATGTATGTCGACTCTCATAGTCTCCAGGAAATGATCGAGTATCTTCTCTGGTGTTCCTGATATCACAGTGTACCTTCAGAAGATGAAAAGAATTTCAATTTAAAAAAAAAACAGAACCAAATCGTATGTTAGATTTCTCATCAGATGTGACCTAGTGTTTTGAAATGTGCTGCTGAGTGACAACAGCTTACTTAATACTTCCCAGGGTGGAGGCTCGAGGACTTTTTTCTAACACCAGCACAGCTTGATCATGTTCTTTCAATCTCACAGTATTGGCCTCCACATCCTGCAAATAATTTTATTAATAACAGAAACCCAAAGTCATGTGACACCTTAGTCTGACAATAAGTACGTCTATTAAAATGTTGGGGTTTTTTTAAGCAAAAAAACACGATTGCAGACCGAACGTCTCTGTGAGGATTTGGTGATTATAATACAGTACAACTCTTATCCCACTTGGGGGAGACAAATACCAGTAGACGGCATTGACAGGGACAATGCTTAGTGTACAGATTCTTTCAGTTTCTGACCTTGCTTTTCTCTCATGAGTACCTTGATAAATACATGTTATAATAATTCTCCGTACCCTTAGTATCCTGTTAAAGTCTTCCTTGTCCACACGAAGGAAGTGGCAGTTGTCCTCCCTCAGGACGATGGAGGCAGCGCGAGGTGAGTCTGTCACCAGCGCCAGCTTCCCAAAGTCATCACCCTCGTGCAGAGTACACACCACACCCTGGGGAAACACACGCATGCACCATTTCACACAAGGACACATGCACGGCAAGGTGCAAGGAAACAGAGCAAACACCATCACTGTACAGCAGCTTCCCAGAGCCTGGAGGGGAAATGATGGATATACAGGACCAGATGTGATTTATTTTTCTTATGTTTGTGTAAATAAGTATGTGTACTATTTATCTACATGTGGGGGTTGTGATATATTATAATGGAGCATGACTTAAAAAATACAGAAAAAGCTAAATACGTAAAAAGAGGGACAAAGGAATACTGCGAACTCCAAACCTTGCCGTAGATCACGACATTGACAGAGCCCTTCTGGATGATGTACCAGGAAGTTCCCTCCTCTCCTTGGTTGAATACTGACAAAGAATGAACAAAATACAAACACATATTCATCATTAATAGAGAGGGATCCAAACACACAGACATTAAAAAACACACATTTTAAGTGTAACATCTTCACTGTAACACGATGGTATGCACTGATTACCACAATGCACCAGATAAATATATAGAGGGATTTACAGTTATATTCAGTTAACATGAAATCAGGCGTGTGTTCTATGGTAAAGACTTACACACTGTTCCAGCTTTTGCATGTGACTCAAAGATCACAACACTCGCCAGTTCTCTTTTCACCTTGAAAAAATAAAAAGCACAGTTTTAAAAGCAGATTGATGACACAGCAATTGCTCAAATTTAGTGGAGTTAAGATTTATGAGAATATATATATACATTGTACAAGTATTGCCTGGGAATACTTGAAGTCAATGATGAACAGCAGATATATAATTTTAGTTTAAATTGATACAACTGTCAGTGATGTATTTTGTAGTATTTTAACTTTTACAAAGTATTTATTTACATCTGCTTCTTCCTCAATAACTAAAAGATCTGCGGTGTTTTGTTGTTTCTTTTTTAAGATTAGGTGATGTCACAGAAGCCTTCACATCTCCTTAGAGGAGGTGCACACTGAGTAGCTCCACTCACAGTGTTGGAGAGATGAGCTAAGGCCTTGATGTGAAGAAGCTCATCATAGATGATCTCAAGGTCATCACCTGTCCTCTGTCCAGGCCTACACACACAGAGACATTTTCACACAGGTTAGTCAGATTATTTTTAATATTTAATCAAATGTATTTGAGGATATATTCTCTGAGCAAAATGTGCTTTTTCTTGTCATTAATAAACGTACGGTTTCCTGAGGATCATTCGCAGCAGTGCATCAGGGCCAATTTGGGCGAGGAAAAGAATGGTCTCCGGCAGCTCCTCCTCACTCTCCCTTTTCTCCTCCTCACTAGGCAACGGCGTGTCTTCATCATCATCATCAAGAAAACGATAAAAGAGGTACTTGTCCTGGAAACCCAGCTCCTGGTCCACTTAAGATGGGGGATGCAGAGGCAGGTACAAAAAAGACACATGAAAATGTCACATGTAAACATCAGCTGATTTTTAACCTCAATTAAAATACTGATCAGTCTTTTGGATTTATGACCCCTTATATAGACAGTGAGTATTGTTTATATGAAACTCTGGTTAAACTAACACCGTGATTTAAAAAGTAAAGTGCAGAGGTCACATTTCGTTGTGTAATTCCCTTTCCTTTATAGAATGATATAAAGTATTTATAAGACCCATACAAAACACAAAGTACCTTAAACAATACTCACTAAAGTGAAAAGGTAATACGTCAAGTTAAAGTTACCATGGTTGAGCCCCCCTTCTTCCACCAGTGCCTGCCACATCCCGACAGCATGGGACCGTGTGAGTACACATGCACTCTGTAGCACCAGCCAGTCAACCAACTCTGTACCAACGCAGCACTGTCTGCAAAACAAAGAAACCTTTTCTTCTTTTGTATATAAATTGAAAATGTTCATATTTAACTGCTTGATTGTAAGAAACAAAATTGCAAAATAGAATAAATACATAAATAAAAATGCATGGATTTGCAGTTGTACTCCCACCTGTAGGTTTTGAGGTGGTACTTCCTGTCTCGGATCATGTGTGGAGCTCTGGACAGAATGGCATTACGGACAACCTTGCCTGCTCTCTGCAGTTTCTCTGAGGGGATCTACAGAACATCAAGAAGTAAGGAGAACACGTGTTGTTCTACAACCAAATGAAATAAGAAGAGGAAATACATATATACATATATATGTATATATATATATTTGTCTTTGTATTTATATATTGTCTGTTGTGTTGTACTGCAGCTTTAGCATTGATCACAAGTGGTAAATGAAGGAAAGAAACACTCAAAATCTAAGTAATATTTATAAAATAATAGTTAACCCAGTCGGTGGATCACACCTGCAGCTCAGACACACGGAGGAAGGCGGCAGATGTGCCTGCACTGCTGAAAACAACAAAGGAAGGTTTGCTAATTAGGCAGATGGATCTTTTTTTCTACGTGCATTCATTACTGAGTATTAGCATAACTACAGAGGAACACATCTGTGAGTCAGAGATGGTCTCTTCACAGAGAACACACACCACCAAAGCTTCACTCTGGTGTTCTGATTGATCAAAGTACAAGAGTGCATTCATAAATCACTAGTGATCACTGCGTGGGCCAGTCAACTACACTTTTATTATTGAGGTCGAAATTAATGTGGCTTTCTTGCCTTATTGTTTCATTCCTCACAGAACATTCAGCCAAACCTGGGTTCCCACTCGATGCAGATTTTGTCTCGTACTTAGAGAAGTTTGGAGGAATCTATTCAAAGGTAGGCTTGACTTTGCAGTGACATGATTTTTTGTTTTGTTTTTTCCTACACAAACACAAAATAGGTGTTCAGGGCCAAAGTGCATGGCAGAGTCTTACCTTGTTGTGAGCTTTGGTTGCAGAGTCTGAGTGAATGTTGTCCTTGTCTGTGAGCCCTACAGACCAAACATCAGTATGAGACACATTTAAAATACAACAGTATATATGATAGGGATGGCATGATACAACTTTTTCATGTCAGATAAAGATACCACAACTTGGAGTTTTGAGTTGAGCATTTTGGCTTTGGTATCAGATCAAACAGGCTTAGTTTTTATAGTTATAGTTTTTTATGTTTAATCCTGGGTTTTTGACCAATATTGCACTGATAACAATCATGAGTATTGGATCAAGCCACACCTAATATAATAATAATAATAATAATAATAATATAATTGTAATATAATATAATAGATAATACATTTTAAGTTCAATTCAGTCATTCAGTCACTCGTGTGTATGCAACACTCACTGTCATTGTTAGACCCACTCTCCATTGCTCCATAGGGAGGGGCCAACAGCCCGGCCAGACTCTGACGGTGATTCTACGACACACACACACACACACACACATCAGTGTCAGTCAATGTCTACAAATATTTGTACTCTAACTTTTAAAATACATCTTTTACACATTGTTATTAAGTAATAAACACTGACAGAAAGATATCTCACCACATCAACCAAGTCGACACACACACACGCCATATACAAAAGAGATCATTTACATCCAGAACAACTATAACAGTATACAACATGCAAGACACAAGCACCAGACGTCCGACCAGTGCCAATGAGATCCACCAACAGTTGTTACAAACAGATAAAGAAATGTGAAAGTGTTTTCTTGTAGGATAATTAATACACAACAGGTCCACTGATGAGGGAGAAAGAGACTCAGACAGAGAGAAGACGGGGTGAGGGACAGGTATTACCTAAAGACAAAAACAAAACAAAAATTGACAAATTTGCCCGCTTCATAGTTTTTGAGTCTCAAAAACTCAGATTTACTGTAAAATGTTGTTATTAAAAGAAAAACAAAGATGAACAGGGAAAATAAAAGTCAGTCAGCCCTTCAGACATGTCTATAGAATACAGATGAACAGTTGAGGAGTGAGACTCACCTCAGCTATCTAGTCCTGGGAGGAGCAGAAAACCCCCGACATCTGCCCTCTGCACCTTTACAACTCTCACACATGCCACAGTGTAGCATCCTGCTTTACACAAGCTACTTTCCTCCTTCCTCCTCCCTCTAAGCCTCTCTCACCCACAGTCACAGTAGTGTCTCCCATTCTGCCTATCTCACTGTGATCAAGCCAACAGCTAAGCCACTCTCCCCCCACAGGTTACCAGGGTGATCTCGGCCGCTGTGCGACTGTGTGGCTCTTAAGTAGGAAGAGAAATTGGGATGTAAAGAGAAAGCAAACACAGGAGGGACTGAAAAGGCCAGGAATAAAGGAAAGTGAGGAGAGGAAGTAGGTTGGCATGAGATGAATCACAGCCAACGGTGCAGAGCGGAAGTGGGGGAGAGAAAAGCAGGGCTGGTGTAATGAGTGGGGAAAGACTTACGGTGTAATTGTCCAGACAATGTAAGTGGAAGTGATTTCTATGTGTGCGCACAATTCTGTTACAATCAGAGAGCTGTTTCACATCTGTTCCCTGTTGGCTCATCTCACTCTGTGTTCAGATGATACAGTGGTGCTTGTTTTTTTTTTTTGTTTTTTTTTGCTTTCTTTCATCCCGTCATCAAACACATGGTCACATTCATCTTTTAGCTTTACAGCTTGGCGCACATGCACATAAGCACAAACACAACAAAGATCCTTTTAATACAAGCTGAATAGGATCCTCTATTCAGACCCTCTGGCTGTTTTCTGCTTTATGTCTGCTGTGGAAAAACAATGTGACCACGTACAGGGGACACTGAGTGCACATTTACTGTACATGACCAGCCAAACACAAAAACACCTAGAAATAAAACACTATGGCACATTACTGTTTTAAAAAAAGTAATTGATGTTGCTTTGTTAGGATTGTCCTGATATAATTTTCCATTCTTTCTGTCAGATCATCTATTAATTAAATTACATTAAAGGTCAGGTTTGTTTATTGATTATGTTAGCAGCAATGAACTGTGCTGACAATTAGAAAACAGAATTTAAAAAAACTTTATTCTTAACAATATTTAATTACCCACGTGAACACGAATTGTCAATGCCTTTTACTGCATTTTAACAGATGAAGACATATGTTTTTTTAACTACTTTAACCATTTTAAACAGTGATCATCATATGATAACCATGTTATCCTATGTCACACCTAACAGCTAAGCTACTATGCTAAGTATGTACTGTATATGCACTATATATTATATTATATATATTATATAGGAAACCATTGGCCATACGTTTCTGCTATATTTCCGTCTACTGTATGTATCTCTCACGTTGTTTTGGGGCATACATGTCCTATCTAGCTATATTTTTGCCATAAATGAAGCTTTTATTCTTACTCTTTGTTCTCATGAAAATATATTTAGGCTAAGTTTGAACTGTCTGGGCCTACATTCAGATGTTTCTGGGTTACTTTTGAGGTAGTTTGGCTAACTGTTCCACTTTTAGCCATTTATTTTAGAAGTGACTGACTGTCACACTGCTGTGTATATATTTTTCAATGATATGCTCTGGTTCATTCAATTACCAAATATATATATATTAATAAAAACCACTTGTGGTTGTACAGTGCTGCAGATAACAGATTGCTTGAATGAACCAGACGAAGGACAGGCTCTTGTAGTCTCACAAAGCTGTCAGTGAAGCCCCGGTGAAATGACCAACTGTTCTGCCAGGACTTCCTTTCCAAGTGAGACCTTGTGAATGCCCATAGTAACCTCAACAGAGGGGGGCAGCAAACACTGTGCCAACTCCATAGACGATGCCAGCGTCTGAGCTGAAGCCTCATTATGGAGTCATTTTTACTCCACCAGGTGGTTTGTAAAACTAAAGCGTGTGCTGGCACCATGTGAACTGTTGTTGTTGTTGTTGTTGTTGTCTAAAGATTTTTTTTCTGTGGTTGACAAAGGTGATTCGTCTATTGAATCAGTTACACAGATTACATGAAACCACACTGAACCAGTGCAATTTCTTTTTAATCTCTGCACCCCAAAATGTCTCAGGAGATTACATCTAGCCTGGTTTAATTTCTCAGCCTCAGGTTTATTGGTGAAATAATTTTCAAATTGAAGAGGTGTGTGGGAGTGTCTGAGTTCTATATCTGTATGTGAGAATAAAGAAAATATTAAAAATATTTAAAATATTCTGGAGATGTGCTGACCGTGAACCTGTGTTTAAGGGATTGGACCCATTAACCACATCCTTCCTGTAGTCATTTAGGATTGAACATTAAAGCAGGACGACAATACACTGTAATGGTAGACAGCCCTCTTGTGGTTGAAAGCACAATCACAAGTTCAATTTGTCTAATGCATTACATATTAAAGTCCAATGAATACTTACAGTGCAGTAATACTACAGTCAGTTTACAAACATTTTCTGAACACACTGTGACTCTCTCACCTCCCAGAGACTCTTGAACTCCCTCTGCTCAATGCGGAGCAGCTCACTGGTCTCTCTGCTGACAATAGTAGCGTGACGTGGTGTGTTGTCCAAGATTGACTCCCCAAACGCGGTGCCAATCCCCAGTGTACAGATAGTGACTGCATCCTGTGGAGAATCGCAAAAGATGTGATATCACACACAACATGGTGATGGTGATACGCAAAAGATGTGATATCACACACAACAATGATGGTGATAAATATACATATATTTTAAAACACTGACATGACATTTACAGGAGAGACATCCAACACATTAGGTATTTATTAAATGGACATTTATGGAAAATATTCCTGTCTTTCACATTAACAGAAACAGACTCACTGTCTGCAGCTCTTTTCATTATTCCCAATGTATCCAGTTCAACCCATTTTTGCGCTCATGCCCAAAGATTATAGAGCGTATTAGGAAGCTCAATGCACAGTGGACTTATTTTCTATGCTGTGGCAGATTAGTACTGACACATTTAAGCAGGGTGACATTAGCTACAAAGTCACAATTGAACCGAGTTGTGAAGAATGAGCTCTGTAACAAAGGCTGTCACAGTGAAGTCAACGTTCTCAGTTCTGGATTCAGGAGTTAATATTATGCCTGGTTTTACCTGATGGTTGGCTGTTTCTGACACTTTAACATCCAGGGAACCAGAGAGAACAGCATACCAGCTGGTGCCTATGTCCCCCTGTCGAAACACTGTAAATACAGACACAAAACAGCAGCATGTCAAACACAGGCAGCCCACCATGAACAGACCAATTCAGCCAGTGGATGAAAATTAAATGTGTGGCAGGAAGAAAAACAAACAATCCACCATGTAACAACTTAAAATAAAAGGTTTGCTTCAGTTTGGAGCAGATAAAAACATCTAAAATGTAATGGATGTAATGGGAATGCATGTGTAATTCATTTTAGTGGACAAAATTATTTTAACATCAGGGACGAAGACGGGAGCTGTGAGATTTGTTCTGTAATTTAATAAAACACCTTGAGACGTTGGCCCAGCGCTGAATACACTAATGTCTTTTCTCTGTTATATGCTCAGTGGATAGATGGGAAGTTCACACCTCACCAAGTTTGTTGAGACTTAATCACCGCTGTGTGTGAACATGTTTGATAGAAAAATGGTAAATGAAGGTACAGAGTTAAGAGGCACTTATATTAATAATGTTATATTCTTTTTCATTGAAATTGTACAAATGTAGAGCAGTTATACAACAATATTCACCTCTGTGAAGTTTGCAGTGTACTTAACACAGAATTGCAGAGCAATCCCGATAGTAATATGCACATTTCCATAATATAAATTGCAGTTTTCTAAATTAGCCCAGTCACATTAGCTTTATGTGTAATCAACTGGGGAAGGAGACAGCAAAGCTATCAAACAACTATGTTTTTCCCTGTACATACATGTAATGCCCTTCTCCAGACACTCGTAGAAGGCACAGGTACAGATCTGCAGCAGGAGTGGAGTGGGAAACCTCTGAAAGGCTTTAACTTCTCTGAGCCTGGTCAGAATGATGTCCACATCCTCTCCTGAGCGCTCCGATGGTCTGCAAAGAAAAGACACATCATTAGCTGTTCCGCTAGCCGTTAAGAAGCCTCATTAGAGTTGTTTACTTGCATAATGTCTTTGGCCCACTGTGACAAATAATGGACAGTCCCTGAGGCAATGGAGTCAATCAAAACCTTCATGTGCGTTGGAAAATAGTTGCTAGAATGTTTTTGGGCTCACCAGTTAACATATGATAGCATGTAAATAACACGTGTCCAATCGACTCAGTTAACGCATGTGTAAGTGTGTGTTTCGTTGTTCAGTCTGGAGTGACCAGAGTATCGGCTCTCTTGTATGAATATATATTGATAATCACATGAGTATAATTCTGGTATCACCCGTCACCAGGCTGGAGCCTCAGTGATAACAACGTGGTATTTCACTTGGCTTCAAACCCCCCACTGGGTGTTGATGATGTATGATCTAATTTACACTGCAGCTTTTTCTAATATGCTTAAAACAGGGCACATCACTGCTCCAAGCGCCCTGACAAAAGAGAACACACGAGTGTGATCTGAGCGCTCTCACACATTCTGCTTCACAACGGAGTGAGTAACACAAGCGGCATTGGGGCAAATTTATCCACTTATTATCTCTTTGCAAAAGTGAGTCATCGCCGCAACGGTGCGTTCACTAGTGCAGATCTGCAAACGCTTCGTGCACAAGATGCCGTTTCTCCCTGCTCTTCATTGTCTGCCTTCACCAAAGTGTTTCTTGATCCCCCACTCCCCCTTCCTCACCCCCCCATCTTTCCTTCAGGAATGTGACAGGCATGACTGAAACTGAACAATGACCACGTGGGCCTCTTTAGGCTATACATTATTTTCATCTCCATTACCAAGTTCACCTAAAACCATTAGGGCACCACTGTTAACATAGTCTCACATATCATGTCATTATCATCCCTTTATTTATGCCTTTAATCTCACTCTCGGCAGTGATGCCTGTTCCTCCGCCCACATGCACATGTGCATATACAGTGATGAACATAAATACTGTGTGTTTGTGTGAAATGTCCTTAGCAGCTGGAGGTATTCCCAGATAAGCAGTGTTTGCCTGAGGCTCTGTAACAACAACATGTTTTTATCATCTCTGTAATATCTGGCACTATCAGACATTAGTCATTTATTTTCATTCTCTTTCTCTCTTTCTTTTAACTCTTTTTTTTTTGTCTGAACTGTTCCCTCGTGCTGCCCCTGCCTCCTGGCAAATATCCTAGTATAGTTGAGGTTAATGGTTTAGACAGTTTCACTCCCACTCACTACACCAGGGGGAGAGCAGGTATATTAAAGGAAACACGTGCAAAATTCTTGTTTGCTGTTTATTAACACAATTGTGCTTCCTCCAGTGAAAGAGGTGTTTTAAATGCAGTAGTAATTCTATTATTAATAAATTGAGTTAACAAGCCAAATAAAATGTTCTTATTTTAACCATTTTATCTGCAAATACAAGAAATAATACCACTATTGGAGATTAAAATAAAATACAAGTGACATAACGATAAACCAATCTCAGCCAACTGTCAATTACAGGTGGCTGGATAGCTAAATATAGCCCAGAGCTCTAGTGTTCTGTGAAGCTGTGTACCTCTGATAAAAGGTCCCACCAGTATTAGAAACGTAACTTCACCTGTCTTCCTGCAGAGCTGAACGGTAACTGCCAGCATCTTCTGCCCTTGACCTATTTGTTCTAATATCTCTGATTTATAATTTTCCATTAAAAGCCTCTTCCCAGGCGTAGTCTTGTGCCCGCTTGTCCTTATCCCTGCCTGTCCAGAGGAATCAGTCTGGCTTGGCAGTGCACACTGAATGTGACCTGAGTGCAGCTCACCTCGCTCTACTCTCCTCTCTTCCTTTTTTCCCTGTCTCCCCTTTCTCTCCTCCTTGACTTCTCCTTTCTAACCCTCCACCCCCCACTGTCTGTGTCAGCAGAGAGCTCAGCTTTCAGCAGAAAAGAAATATAACCAACACACACATACACGCTGATCATTTACAATTCATCCAGCATGATATGCATAAAAGAAAACTGAGTGACTCCAGAAGCTTCTGCAGATTATTTCAGGACACAACTGGAAAGGTTTCCACACAAACAAATCATTGGCTGACCAGAATGTCAGACATTAAAAAGACACTGAAGCAGAAGCCCTTAATTATATGTACCCATCTGCATCCCCTTAAAACAGCCTGATATTCTATTAGAAATTACAA